TATTACTTCCAGAAAGGCATCCACATTAATTAAATGAATCTTCTAGCCAAAGAAAAAAAAGAAAGTAGGATACAAAGGTACCAAATAAAATAAAAAATGTTCTGGCTTAAAAAACTTCAAGGTTACATAATCCTTCAAATTCCATTTTCCTTAATTAGGCCAGCTTTTGATACCTGAATCATTTATCCTGCCTTCTCTTTTTCAATCCTTCTGCACCAATGTCGCATTTGCAGTTTTAAGTGACCTACTTAATTAGAATTTGGAACCCTCAGACAGGAAAGTGTATTGTCTTCATTCTATTTTAATCAACAGACCTTATTAGTGAACTGAATTTCTAACACGGTTGTTCAAGGTATGCACCTTAGGCAATTCCAAAATTCAAACATCCCAGTTTAATTATATTCATGAGTATAATGTTCACATACGAGTACAATCATGGCATCAGCTCACGTCTACACTTAAACATGTACATACAAATATGGAAGAGGCCAAAGGGAGCCGGATCTGAAGTCAAGACACTGTGGTTCTCTGCCTAACACTGCTGCTAGTGCCTCTGTACTCCTGACACATCCCAAACCTTCCTGAGCTTCCGGCTTCCCACCCTCAAACAGGTGGTTGGACTGTTCAAGTTCTTTATGGCTCCAAGCCACTATGATTATTTCCTAAAAACCTATCATGTGGGGTACTGTGGTAGGTGGGGATGGGAGAGAGGTATAAAAATGAACTGATGTTGCCCTGTCATCGAGAACAATGCTCTACAAGGAAGACAAGATCATACACAACAAAACATGGCGCAGCAGACCTCTCCTGACCGCTCCGCTGCCCACGCTCAGCAGTGTACTTCGTCAATTACCATCATTGCCTTAGTTATTTTCTTTTTCCCTTATGACTGGTGCTGTACGTGGCATACAGTAGATATTCAAGTAAATAGCATTAAAGTGCTATAAAATCCTCCACGAACATTTAGAGAATAGGAGCTATCTCTGATGGTAGTGGTCCAGAAAGGATAG